TTTGGAAAATATTAGCTAATATTTGGAGTTATTCAAGGAATTTAAACTGTATTAACTTTTCTAAACCTTTTGTGATTTGTTTAAATCGCAGGAATGTTATTATTGTTTCGTAATTAATAAACAATCTTTCGTATATATTTTTTAAGGTTCGTAAGATGAGAAACAAAAATTAATAGTTTTCATTTTATTTTCTAGCATCCTTTGTCACGATGCGATCGACTCCATATTTACAGAACAAACAAAATGTTAAACATGACGCAGCAAATAGCATTGTCGTGATACTGTTGAAAAGGCTCAAATAAGAATTGTTGTTAAATTTAATCGTGGACATCTAGTGGTGGATTATTTTTTTTTAGTATAATATAAAAACAAACTGAAAACATAGATAGTTATGCTAAGTGAAAAGCAAGCAGTGAAATAAAGGTTTATAATGGCAAATTTCGGGGTTTAATCCCTGCATGGGAATAGCGCAATTGGTTAGTTTCGTTCTATTTTGCTAAAAGCTCCATGAGGGCTACACGAGCACTAGCCGTTCCTAATTTTGAAATTATAAGCTACACAGAAAATGCAGTTAGTCAATAGTACTATAAGAAGGATTACGGGGAGGGGGGGTAAGGGGGAGAGATGGGGAAGCAGCTGCCCTTTTCACTTTTTTATGTGAGATAATTATTATGGATGTCGTGTGTATATTAAAAGTCAGATTCCCCCCCCCCCTCCATCCCCCCACATTTTGGTCCCGTAACCGATCCATGAATAGAACTTTCACCAGCAATAAGGCCTATTGAACAGTGGGAGTTGGCTGTCACCAACAGACCCTAAGTGGGCAGCGCGTTTCTGCTTAAACGTCCTAATAAGTCAGACCACATACTCGAGTCCTAATAAGTCAGACCACATACTCGAGTCCTGATAAGTCAGACCACATACACGAGTCCTGATAAGTCAGACCACATACTCGAGTCCTAATAAGTCAGACCACATACTCGAGTCCTAATAAGTCAGACCACATACTCGAGTCCTAATAAGTCAGACCACATACACGAGTCCTAATAAGTCAGACCACATACTTGAGTCCTAATAAGTCAGACCACACACTCGAGTCCTAATAAGTCAGACCACATACTTGAGTCATAATAAGTCAGACCACATACTCGAGTCCTAATAAGTCAGACCACATTCGTGGTTCGCGTTCAGTTACCGAAAAAACACGCTCCGCACTTCGGGACCGTGAGTGCTATTTGTATAGTACATCAATTCAAAGTTAGGAACAGTCTCAGGCAGATTACTGAAATAAACAATCAAAGTGAACACATAGTTTTCCTTATATTGACGAATATCAATAAAATTAACGCAACTGAAAGTTAATTACTGTTATTCACCTCCTTCTAGTCGTCCATAAAACATCTAAGCTGTCGTTCTCAGGAAACTACACATTTATCATTTGATCTACCTTGTCGTCATACTTGAATTATGAGAAACTGAAAATAGTTATAAATATTTTTCTTTCCACTTTAATGAAAAACAAAATATAAATAAATCATCTCTTTGACGTGATCTATCGATAAAAAGAACAAGATGAATCGCCGTGACGCTTCGAATAAAAAAAAAAGATAAAAATTGGATCGGTCGATGAATTAATGATGTGCTCAAATATTGGTTGGTTTAAACACGTGCGATAGAAAGAGCTGTCGTCTGTTGGCACAGTCGCTATAGTGACTACATATTAAAAGTGTAGTATACACCTTCAGTGGCTAAATTATACGAATAGCCTCGACTCCAGGTGGTTAAGTCACCTGCACGAAAACGTTGTCAGGTATTGGTAATCACTCCCTTTGAGTTAATTTGGAAAAGTACCTTTAATTATCAGAACGTAATAATTGCAACTTATTTCATTAGATATATATTTACTGCCAAACATTAACTTCAGTCTGATAGAAACGTGTCTGTAGAAAGTTAAAATTGAAATATCGTCCTGGAACCTTCTTACACGTTAACTGTATGTTATTCAAGTAGAACCAAATACATTCGTCGTGAAACAATAGTATTAGGCTTATTGTATTGTCAAACAATACATTCTTCATTCAGTATTTCAGTGGGGTTTCCGAGAAAAAAAGTGTATAACAGTATTCAACCATCAGTGTCCGCCATATTTATTGTATTGCCAACAATATCAGTTCAACACTGTTGAATCTAGTTGTTAGAATAACAATGGTTATACTATAACCATTGTTATTCTAACAACTGATTCAACACT